TCCCCCCCCCCCCAAAAAAAAAAAAAAAGAAAAGAAAAGAAAAACAGGAACACTGTGCTATAAGACTTTGTCTGAAGGTAGAATATGTACCTATTTAGGCTACCCTCTCATCCCACTGATGGTGTAGTAGCTTACAAAAGAGACTTTAAAACTCTGAAGAACTTCAGGTTACAAATTCCAGTTTTTGTCTAATTCAGCTCTAAATTTGATCATTTGTCTATACTTCAACTACAGAGTGAATTAACAGGTGGTAAAGAGACACTGTTTTAACACTCACCAGCACTGGGTTCTGGGGCAGGCAGTTACCATGCATCATCTGTTTTATAAGTCCATGTCCCTGGTTAGCTGTTTAATTTCATGGCTTGTCCATAAACTAGGCTGTTTTTAAGATACTTTTCATATAAACCAAACAATAGATTTGTTCTGTGCATCTGCTAAATAGAAAGATTGTTTGTAGATTTAATTACTGCTGACTTAATACAGTTGTGAAATAAGTTATTCTGAAATAAATCTTATTGTTTCTAGGACTCTGTTCACAGAGCTGAGAATCGTTGTTGAACATCTAATAATGAAACCTTCATGCCCTGTTTTTATAAGAAGACTCTGTCTCAGCAGCATTGCCTTTATAAGCAGACTGGCACCAACAGTTGCATAGTTAACTTCCAGAAGAATGCGTGTGTATTGTGAACACTTTGAGCAGTTGGCACTTCTGCTGGTTATAAATTCCAGATTTTACACTGATCCTATTCCAGGTTGTATAAAAAATGTGCATAAGCTTCCCTCTGCTCCAATTTATTGTCTTACAAGCAACTCTTAAATTTCTAAAAATTATGCTATATTGCTAACTGGTGAAAATGTGTGCATCTTGGCTAAAATATTTTTCAGGTGAAATAGCCCAATCACAGGATGTCTTTCAAAATATGGCTAACAGTTGTGTTTTATTTCAACTTTATCTGCTGGAAGGAAATAGTTTTTGAGTATCTGAGTCAGCTCCATAGCTACTGTAAGTTGATCCAAAAAGTAGCTTAGTTTTCAGTGAATAGCAATTCACAACATACTTGTGCAGTACACTATGAACAGTATTCTTTCATTCCCAGCACACCTTAACTTGCTCAATATAAATCAAACATGGCTGGCTTAAAATGTGAGGGCAGGCTTAAAAATCTAGCTGTGATGTTGCAGTCTTTGGGGAAGAGCCTGTTCTTTTTATAAAAGTGAACACATGGTAGTGATTAACTGAGAATTTTTTTTCATAGCTTGTAGCTGGGAGAGCTCTTAAAGTTCTGTCCACACTGTCTCTTTACAAGATATGGCTTTGCCACCATTAATGAGGTTGGTAATCCAACAGGTTTTTATTTTTAAAATAAAAATGCAGTGCTTTTAAAGTCCTATCAATCTCTAAAGTAAAAATCATGCACTGATTTACTACTCTTTTCCAGAACCTCTACAAGTATATCTACACAAGAACCTGAAAGTAGGATTAGTTACTGTAGCTACTTTTCCCCCTCCCCTCCCTGCCAAGAAAACTAATTTGCAACTAGCACTACATGCAGCTTCTTTTTCTTTTTCCTCTTCTAGTTCCTGAGACCTGTTGAAATGGGGAGTTCACACAAATCATTGCACCTGTTTGAATACTTATTAAAACAAACTGCTGTAGAGCAAATTTAGTATAAATCCACATGACTTTGCTGATTGGGAGGGAGAACACTCGGTGACTAGAGACCTATATTAACATTGGGTGTGGATTATGCATGTACCTAGCATATTTTGCTATCTAATGGTAGCTCGTGGAAAAACAATACTGTCTGAACTGAGCTTGTTTCCTGAAAGGGGAATTGGGCACAGTATGTAATTTTAGTTGTAAGGAAGTTAGATGCTACTCTTTTGGGGTTTCTCTAAACTCCCTTACTGTCCTTTTACCACTATTTTATGGTCAGTTCAGACCTCCTATTTAAATCTTTTGGAACACCTGTTCGTAAAGCAGAACACTTTCCTGTAACTAGATAGCTTCCTTCCATGTGATGTGGATGTAATTTAGCCTTCACTGTTGCATTCATTTAGCCTCTTTGTCAAGCTATGCATCTGTACATTTTTGTTTTGGTTTTTTTGTGCTTAATTTTTAGGTACTGACAAAGGAGATGCTTAGTAGGGTGATTCTATTGGATATTTTCATCCTAATGTTCTTAAAAATAATTGGCTATTTATGGAAACTTTGCACACTGCTAAAGTAACTGTATGCAGTACTATTGTACAGCTGCTGATATTTGCAATTAACCTCACAATCTGTATATCTTGTAATTTGAGGGTTTTATAAAAAAACTACAATTTCTACAGCAATAAAACAAATGTCAAAAAAGTAGCTTGCTGATGCTGTATGTAGCTTTCAAGATCATAGTCTCTCTAATAACTGGAGTTTTCTATAACTTGACCTAAAGCTGAGTAGAGAGAGCAGTCTTGTGTGTGCATATTTCTTCCTGTCCCTACTGGCATGTGCAAATTTAATTCAAATGGAACACAAACAAAGCTCTTGAGATCACACACACACCACTTTAGAACTCCCATATTTATAACCTTCTTAAGTACTTTTCTGCCCTGGTATTGAGGGGTATGTCAGCCATATTAGTCTGAAGGTAGGGCAGGGTAGCATCTTTATAGACAAACTGCTTCAGAGAGGCATGAGCTGTCATTGGCCATCTGCAAGTCCATTCATAGCATCTGATTAAGTAGGGAGCAGGGTACTAAACAGAAAAGAGTAAAGCCATTTTACTTACAAAAGATAAGTAAGTGGGGAGGAAAGGAAGGCACTGTTGAGAGAGCCAAAGGTGACTTCAAAGCATCCAAGGGGATAAATGAAATGAGATGGGAAGGGGGCAGGGCTATAAAAACTGGCCCTGGTTATGGGGGTAAGAAGCCATAATCTCTGTTAACAGACCATACTTAACACAACCCAGTCTACAGGTGATTGTTAAGAAGTTTTGAGAACAGCTATTCTCAGGTCATTAATAAAACGTCCAGGGATGTTAAAGTTCCTGCTATAGGCTTTTGTCTTTCTGGAGTTGATGTCAATGCTGTATCCATTTATCCCTTCAGGTAGGGATTGCTGTGTCTATCCAGCATAGCAGAATCCTGTATTTGCTAAGATGTTCATGAACAAAAACTGCAGGCCTTGTTTTACTTTTTGCTGGAATACTTGACTAATGCATGTTCCATCAAACATGCAGAACAATGAGCAACAACTTGACTTCATTTACTTGAAACAATAGGTTAACATCTAGTAACCATTTAGATATCCCTTCAATGTGACTCACTTGTTCACACAAGTGTTCTGCAGACAATGTGGAGAAAATATCAAAACTCATCAGAGCTATCCCTTTGCTATCTGCTGGTTTCCCATCATTGTGTGTTCTTTGAATGCTTCTGAATTGTAATAAAATATAATAATGTAGGTGCCAGTTGTGGTATGAGACTTACTTTCTTTTAGCACTTTGAGACTGACTAACTGACACAGATCCTGGTTGTTCTTATCAGGATTGGTAGGTTCTAATCAACTACAATGTAAAAAAACAAAAACAAAAAGACCCAACCCCCACCCCCATCAAAAGGAACCAACAACCTAAAACCACAAACTTCTTTGACCTCTATAATAGTTTTGCAACTCATCCATGAAGATCAGTCTTTGGTTTAGAATCATAAAGTTAGGCAGAGGGGATTTTTAGGAGGCTTTCTGATAGTTGCTGCATTAAAGGCAAGACATCCCTATATAAACTGTCCTAAACAAGTGTTTGTCTAATCTCCTTTTAAATACTTTAAAGAACATTACAACATGTCTAAAAAGCTTGTTCCAATGCTTAGCTACCCATGTAGTGAGAATTTTCTTCCTAATATCCAAACTATGTTTTCTTTGCAGTTTAAGATTGCTGCTCCTATAAGCTATTGTCATCCTTTGTATAACCACTGTTCTCAAATCCCCCACCTCCCAGTCTTATTTGGCCTAAATTTATGATTCTTACAACTTTTCATTGTAAACTGTTGCCTAGACCTTTTAATTATTCTTATTGCTATCTGTTGAACTCTTTCCAATTTGCCCATATATTTCTTGAAATGTTGTGTCCAAAACTGATGCAGTAATCCAGGCAAAGCCTTACCAGTGCTGAATACAGCAGAAGAACCACTTTATTTGATTTGGAAGTGGTGCTCATTGTTCGTAGTAGAAATTTCACACATTTCTGAATGGAAGCTTCTGAGTCCATCATAATACTGTGTTAAATGCATTAACTTAATCTCCCTTGGCAAAACTAAGGCAATTATGTTTTATGTGGTCATTGTCTTTTGCAATTAAAAAAAAGTTACATAACTGTAGTGAGCATTGTGGTAAGACCTTTTTGCTCTCACAGTCTGTGTCAAGTGCTTGTGAGAACATCTGGCCAAAATTATGCGTGGAATGAGTTAAAGAACATCTGTAACTTTTTTCCTTTTTTTTACGTATGTCCATCCATCTGTCTTTGCTCTCAGCTTTGTCCATATTGTCCTTGTACGCTTAGAAGTAAAATATTTCATGCTGGGCATGATTTGGAACACCTAAATTTTAGTTTTAAATTAATTAAATTGAATCTCCTAATTTCAGTTTCTTTTGGGGGGGTTTTTTGGGTTGCTTGGTTGGTTTTTTGTTTGCTTGTTTTTTGTTTAATATCTTTCCTGAAACAATTTCAGAACTGCTAAAGATATATGATCATGATACATGTATGTAAGTAAATGTCTCATAGTCATTTACATGGCCTTTTTTACTTGTGGTCTTTATCATAGAATACTGCTCTTAAGTAAGAAATACTATTAACTCTTAAAATTAAAGAACTGAGAATTAGTCCAAGGTAATACAGGAAGTCTGTGGCAGAACAGGGATCAGGTCATTAGAATCTGAGGCTTGGGGGCCTAATCATAGGACCATTTTTTATTATAGCATACATTAAAATTTTGATTCTTTTAAGACGTAAATGTTCATGCTGTCTCCAAAGAGATTGTACACTATGGCAGTCACATTAAGGCTGGTATAGACAGTTGTGCCATAATTATGTTTTGATAGCATATTGCCAAAAAGTCTTTCTTAGGCAGATGCTGCATGATATTACCAGTGTGTGCCTGTAACCTAATTTGATAGCAAGGTGCTCCTGAAAGAAATCCAAGACTTCAACTCTGGCCTGCTTTGCTTAGAAAGAACAAAGGAAAAAGAGACAAATTGTGGTTCCACAGTAAGTATTGAGCTGGTGAAGTCAGTCCCTATAGCTGTTCTTTAGGCTGAAGTACTGATGCAAAAGGAAGGGAAGATGGGGAGATTGTTTAGCTTTTTTGGACGCCTTCAAGCTGGTAAATTTAAGTATTGTTCTCTAGATTTTGCTGGTCTTGTTTGCAAAGATCTTACTAGAAACGCACAGGGGTTTTAACTGCCATTTTGGCGTTTTTCCAGTCTCTGCTCCGGTTTGTTAGGTGTCAGTTAGCTGTGCTGATTTGGACTCTTTTTGTACTGTGGTGTAAAATAAAAAGAGAAATTACAATTACACTTAGCTGTTTTGGAAAAAGATAATTGCAGTCATGCCCTGTGTGTTTAGCTGCTCTCCAGAAATATGGGGAAAAACCAGGCCCTGCTCCAAAGGACTTAAAATTGAGAGAGTCACCCTTTTAGGAACAGAACTTCTAAACAATCTGTTTTGCAAATTCATTGTCAGTGTAGTAAAATATAGATTCAGAAGCTTCTTTTTATAGAGTATGTCAGCATTCCTTAATAACTTTTCTGCAAAAGCCATTCCATTTTTAATAGCAAATATTGTACAGGTAAGGGAGTTTCATTGCTCAGCTCTATACCATCTAGACTGCATAAACTTCTAAAATAAATTGAAAAATTTATCACATTTCTGTATTCAAGATCTGAGGCGCACAAATGCTAATGTAGGGCTCAAAGGGGAAATATAGTTCTCCTGCATATTTGAGAAAATGTGAAGCCCTTTCAAGAAAATCTAATAAACATAATAATCACAGCCTGCTGACACTAAGGAAAAAGGACCTCATTCGCTCTTTCTTTTATGCAGCAAGTTACTGGTCCCTACTGATTTCCAAATTGGATCACTGCAGTAAATTATCCATGCCAGTACCTGTGAAAGTAAGCACTGGGATCCATATTTGTTTTGTGTTCTGCTTAAATCAGCAAGAATGATAAATTTGATGGTATGAAATTGGAAATATCAGGGGCTTTCTTCAATGAATGAGCAAAATATCTCCACTTGTAATTTATTGTGACCCTTTTTTACTGTGTGTGCTTTGTGTGTCTGATATTTATTTCAACACAAATTAAATTGCTCTCTCCTTCCATATTGTCACATCTATGGTTTTATTGATATTGTTGAAATCAAATTGCAATTTTTTTCCTGGATTTAAAGCAGTCTTACCAATGTTCTGTTGCGAAGAAACGCTTGCTGTTAGAATTCAGATTTCTTGTGAGTTTAATTGAGTTACTGATCGGAAACTTTACGTATAAAAGGCCTTCTTGCTTAAAAACTGTGCAAGATACTTGTTTTGTTTGGTGAAAAAGGAGAATTCGGCTTAAAATTGTAAATGATGGGGAGAGGTATAAGACCAGACCGTCAGCTTGAAGTGATGGAAGCTTTGCTGCTTTACCTCACTGGAGGATTTGGGTCCCAATCCTGGAAATCCTTATGTACATGCTCAGCTTCATTACTGTGTAGCCTAGTTAACTTTTAGTGGAGCAGGTAATGGCATAAACACATACCTTGGAATTTATAGGAAGCGTAGCTCGTTCTGAAAGTCTTAAACAGGTTGCTGGTTTGTTTGTTTTTTTTTTTTTTTTTTTTTTTTTTTTTTTAATGAGCTTATTTCATAATAGTGTAGTAAAAGCAGATACTGATCTAATTTCCCCTGATATGCATCCGAGGTATATACCAATGGCTTTGAATTTACACCTTTAATCTAGCCCAAAACAAACTTGTCATCAAAATCAAAAAGTAGTATTAAATAATGTGATTGTGACCCTGTGTATTTTACTTGTGTTGGGCTGTAACCCTGTGTTTGAACTAGGGCTAGTGGTAGCAAATTTATGGCAGTTACATAAATAACTGACTGCTGCTCAACCCCTGTTCCAATCAAATGTATTACTTTCTCTAGTAACTAACTTCTGATCACACTGATGTATGCAGTACAATTTTGAGGATTTGGTAAAGGGATAACAAAATGGATAAACAACTCAAACATAACTGACTATACATAAGTGATTGTTGTTCAGAATAGTAAGTTACCATATTAGTTTTAACAGGATGATTTGCTTTGG